AACCCCCCCCTCCGGCCGCCGCCGCCGCCGCCTCCTCCTCAGCCCCCATCCTTAAAAAGACCAAACGCAGCCTAACCTTCTCCGACCTCCCAACGGACATCCTCCTCCGAATTGCCGCCCCCTTCGACCTCCTCGACCTCTGGTCCATGAGCTCCGTCTGCGCCCAATGGCGGAAATCCCTCAACCCTCTTCGTGAGGCCATGGTCCTTGTTCGATGGGGGAAGCGCTTCAAGCATGGGGATTGTAAAATAAAGCCCAGTCAAGAGAAAGCTCTTGATTCTTTCCTTAGAGGAGCGGATCGAGGTTCGGCGGCGGCGATGGTGGATGCTGGGTTGATGTGTTGGGAGATGGGGAGGAAGGAGGAGGCAAAGAGGTTGTATGCGAGGGCGGCCGAGATGGGTTACCCAGCTGCTCAGTGTAATCTTGGCCTTTGCTATTTACAAGGTAATTCTGAGTCCTTTGTATTTATTTTGATCATCTTCAATTCAGAACCTCTAATTTATGCTGTGACACCTGATTTTTGGGTGCATGAGACACTTTGAAGAGCCCACTATTCAAGATAGCTAGCCAGCAAGTAGTGATGACTACACTACACCTTTCAAACTACTCCCATGCTACGACGGCCAAGATTGTGGGATCCTTGATGATTCATCAGCTTTAGTGACAATCTAAGTGGAAGACCCCACACTTTTGTGTGTACTATGCTAGTGTACGAGTAGTTATGAGAGTGCAGTTTACTTAGAATTATCCCTGGCCATTAGAGCAGAGGAGAGAACCTAAATCTCTATAAACTCCCTATTCAGTCAGATGTGGAACTAAATGGATGTACGCTTCTGCACTCTCGGTGCCCACATCGTCTGACCGCGTACTAGTCTTGTCCTGATAGAATACTGCAATCCCAACATTAACCCTTTGACGTCGCACTAGGCTAGTTCTGGATGACACTACTACATCATGTGAAGATGGGGCTAGCACTGATACCATCTGTGAGGGACTTAGAGCTCTTGCCTAAAGAACTCAGTGTTAGATGGAGGAAAACTCGAGTATCTTATGAACCCATGACTCCCCTTTAGTTTTAAATGGATCGTAACGCAAATCCAGTGTATGAGTATTTACATCTGATCGTTAGTTAATGCACCAACACATATAGGTTAGGTGTGGGCCGGATCGACTCGCGGGCTGACCGGGCCCAACCTGTCATTGCTACGGGCTGGGTCCGACCCAACTCATGATGTACCTAGGTCACAGGCCGGGCTGGGTCCAACCTCAGACCTAGAGTCAGAAAAGTTAGCCCGGCCCACGCTAACCTGACCCGCGCCCGACCCAGTTCGGCCTGACCTGCCCCAGGCCTATGATATATATTTTGGTTAGGCTAACTGTTTTTTGTTTGCCCTTTGCGTCTGCAGCTAGCTTCCAACAAAACCAAAATGCCATAGGTCTTTGGCTCGTGGGCATTTTGACCTATTGAGAAACAAAGCAGCGATCTTTAAGCTCGCTGCTATTTACTTGGAAGGATTAAAAAGTTTAATATAAGTTTAAAAATAGTTTAATAAAAGTTTAAATTACTAAAAAATAAATCAAAAATAATTTTGTAATTGTAAATACAAGTTTAATATAATTAAAAACGTAAAAAAATAAGAAAAAAAGATGGACAAAAAACTCATGGGGCGGCTCATGACTCATGGGTCGTGGGCCGGGTTAGACGTAGCCTGCACCTAGGCGGGTCGTGGGTCGTGTTGGGTCTAGTCCCAGACCCGGAGAAGTAGGCCCGGGTCAAGCTGACCCGGCCTTGAACTTGGCGGGCTAGGTTGCGGGCTTGAGCCGCCCTGGCCCACGCCCACCCCTTTACACCGATAACCCATTAGGTCTCACATACAGGAATGAATCCCATGCAATGTCAACGTGTTATCCACTTACTGTATGTAATTGGTATTATAGTGATAAAACTTGCAACTTTAGGATCAAATGAAAGTATTTGCCAAAACGATTGTATCATCAAGAATGCATATTCTTGGGTACGCTCTTGTACATATAGAATTTTCACAGTATTTTACAAACTGGAGAATTGATTTAAAAGTTTCATACTTTATGGTGTGTGAAACTAGAACATCTACGCAAATGAACTATACACTGAGGCTTACATTAATTTCTTAGGGTCAATTGGCAGCTTTAAGACTTTTATTAGAAAGAAGCCTAATCCAGATTAGTTCTGGACTGGAGAACAAACCTTGCAAGGCAGGTTTCTTGCCAAAATTGGCCTAACAAGACTTAGTTGTAAGTCCTGGTCCTGTAACTTACCAAACTAGGATTAATCCTACTCCAGCAATTGTTTCCTTTAGCCTGGTTATCTCAAGTTTCCAAATACTACCTAAGGATACAATTTGACAAAAACCAGCGACACCCTTGGCATTCAAATGCCAATCATTTTATCATCTTGAGAACTAGATTCATAATCTAAGATACACTGAAAAGTGTCAATAATCGTGTTGTAAAACCCATCTCTTTGCAAGCAACCCTCAGTACACTTTCACTTAAGGTATATGAAAATCATTGCAGGCTTCCAATTTATTTGACATAATTCTTCTTAGGGATAAATGAGTGATATCAGAATGGTATGAATCCTAAGAGACATGTAAAAGATCATGCATTCTATAGCATGTTCCTACACATTCATGAACTCAGTTACTCAAAATGATGACCATTGGGTCTCATGGTATAGTGGTGCATACGAGTACCAGCCCCATGGTTAGTGGTTCATGTTACATTAGTGGATGCCAAGTGCCTCATAGGTTAAAATGGTGTCATAAATAAAATGTTTTCTTGGGTGGTGGGGGGGGGGGGGGGGGGGGTGTTTTGTTNATTGATTTAGCTCAATAAGTAGAGAAACTATGAAGGGCCTGAACCAATTTCACAAAATACCTAGTTCAGCTCTTGAGGCACAACTAAATATTTTTTTCATTGGTTGCTACTACAATTACAGATAAGCCCTTAAGGTTATCACATGAACTTTACAAATTGCAGTTAACTTGTTTATATGATACATGATTTACGTACTTAGAGTGTATTCAATTTTTTCATTTGCAGATAATGAATCTAAACCTGAGGAGGCTGTAAAATGGTTTTATCGGGCAGCTGAATCAGGATACGCACGTGCTCAGTACAACTTGGGACTCTGTTTACATAAGGGTCGCGGCACTGTTTGCAGCCTAACGGATGCTGTATGGTTTCCTTTCATCCTTTGTCTTTTAATCTTGATCATGAAATCTGATCAGATTTAAAGAAGCTTTAAGTAGTATCTAACATACTAGAATTTTTCTTAAAACCTTCTAACTTAGTTTCATTTCACACATGTGGCTAATCATGTTTTTAATATGCCATGAGTGTAAGATCTGCGAATCTGGAAGTCTTGGTTAATTCCAGTCTATA